ATATACTGAGTACAGGGAAAGACGTATATATGAAAGAAAGAATTAATCAATCTTATTTTCTGGATGTCTAGAAACAATGTACAAAAGACTGCAAATCCGTTAGGGATGGAAAACCACCATCTTGTGATACTTAAATATACCGGGAGATAGAGCAAACAACAGATAAAAGAGAGGACGCAATAAAAAATATTTTGTACACTTCCTATTTCTTTATGGCGTCAGAGAAAGTAATCAATGTTTGTATAGCATTTAGATAAAAAAAAATATGGCTGAGCAAAGAAAACTGGAATGGATAAGGGTGATAATGGGAAGATACATATAAAAAATGAAGGAAAATGAATGACATGAGATAATAGCTATCATGGCCGTGGAATTTCTCGATCTGGTTTGTGTAGATAATTGTATCCATTAATTTAGCGTTCATCCGAAGGAAACATGTGATTAACAATTTTCATATATTTAATAGGAAATTATAGAAGACTTAACGATATATACATAGACCAGCTTAATATGGTACAAAGCAGAAGGGAGTGATAAAAAATGGTGCTGCACTCATCTTTCAATATGTGTCGTCTGCTTGGTTTGAAAATCAGCATTCGAAGTGCTGGCGTTTACTTGGGCTCGAATGCCGACCATTGGAAACAAGTAATTGCCTTAAGCGCTCAAAAGGTTCACAAACAAAGCTATTAAGTATATATTAATGAATATACATAATATCTAACGTAGACAGCACTACTTGGTGCAAATCTGCAATCATCAGGTGCTGAATACGATCTGACCCTTAAGAGATTTGCGTTCTCGTTTGGATTTCAAATTTTATTTAAAATAATTTTTATTTTGGAGTTTTTCATTAAAAAAAACTTTATAGACAAATTTAAACGAGCACTAAACAAATCATAACCCCACACTTATAAACACACGCCATATATGTATAGTGTCAAAATACACTTATCTGACCTCACACACACACAAGCACACACACATATACACACAAACACACACACATACAAATACGTAGTTACGGGATATATTTCTTTATAATTATAATAACATATATGTGGAAAACGAATATATATACACATACTAGCAAAAATAAATACACTAGACAGATCACATACACACACATGAAACCTACACGCCATACAAACTGTGCATATATATATATATATATATACATATATATATATATATATATATATATATATATATATGTTTGTGTGTGTGTGTGTGCGTGTGTGTGTGTGTGTGTGTGCTATTTTGTAATAAAACAATATATATGTATGGAGAAAATAAATATATACACATACTAGCAAAAACACACACACACAATACACAAGAATGAAAGAAGGTCTAAAGTTATACACTAGGACATAAGAATAAAGACCTCATCCCTTTCTCTTTCTCTGACCAATCCTAAATGTATTATTCCGCCTAAAGCATAGAAATATCCTTCCACCAGTTCAAAATGAGTTTGGATTACTATAAAAGATAATGGCTAAAAGACTCAATATATGAAAAAATTAATTTGTCTAAATAACATGTGGAAATAAACATCCTTCGCCAGATGACGGTCACAAGAGACGAAACCCGGGTAGTAAAAATTATAGAAAATACATATTATAACCCAAAACGTTTGCAGCCTTTTCTCCCTTTAATATATATATATATATATATATATATATATATATATATATAATGGATTTATTTTCAATCCGACGTTTTTTACTAGAAGCATTATTGGAGTTATATATAGAAGGAATAATATGAACTATAATAATGTTTAAAGTAATAAAAATGTCGGATTAAAAATAAATCCATTAATTCTTTAGAAATTGCTTTGATTACCTTTTGGATACGGAAATGAGCAAATATGAATCTTTTAAAAAAAAAATGATGGTTTGGCATTCCTTAAAAAATCAAATCAGAGCCTTGCTTAACTTTGACGTTCTTCGTGACCGAGAATATCGGATCAAATGATGATTTCCTCTACAAAGGTGGACGCAGGTTTAATCCCTGTCGGTGTGAACATTTTCTTTATTAATATTTCATGAATGTGCAGGTCGCTATACGTAATACACAGTGTCTAAAATAAAAAAGAGACGTCTATTTCAAATACGAATGTCCTCGATATAAACGTATATATGTATAATACACACACACACACACACACACACACATAAAAATCTGAGTGAAGAAGGTTAAGTATTCCTTTAAAAGGCCAATTACATAATGCGTTTATAGTGGACACACGTATTTAGAAAATGATACTATGTGATGTACATATAGATACCTGAATGTATATACATTGTACATACTATCATGTAGATATATATACATCATATGATATCATTATATAAGTTCATACAACTACTAAAACATCAGCAGAAGTGCCTCCAACAAAGCCCTCATCAAATGACGTTCTGTGGTCCAGTCATGATTTACAAGACGTATCATTTCTAGTACGCTATGACATCCCAGTGGTACATCACGATACCCACTGATTTTTTTTTTTTATTGTTGTTTTTTTTGTTTGTTTTTTGTCATATGCCAAGTGCAGGCAGATGATGCTTCTATCCCGATCTTCTAACAATCGGATATCAGTCAGATCTTTTGCAGCTGAAGTGGAAATAAACCCTGCATTTCACCACAATGGGATAAGCATCATTCGTTAAGTCAATATTTCTACTCACTCTCCTCGAAATAGCAAAGAAAAATAAATTGCTAATTTAAAAGAAGTGCAGATATTAGCGAACAATACGATTATATGTCTTCCTAACATCATGGATTGTGTAAAATTCAACATTATACGAGGTGCATTCAAAAAGTATCCGATCTTTCGGCATATAATAAATAATTGTTCTACATTTCACAAATTCTATTTAATCACCTTCAAAATACTCCCCTTGGGAGTTCACACACTTCTACCAGCGGTTCTGCTACTGCTGGTAACACCCCGGGAACGCCTTCTGTGGCATGCTATCGAGATCCGATGTCAATTCTCTTATAATCTCATCTCGCGAGTCAAATAGCTTCATACTCAGCGTGGTTTTCAATTTGGGGAAGAGGCAGAAGTTAGACGATGCCAACTTGTGAGAGTAGAGAGTTGGTTGAGCAAATGTTGTGATGTTCTTGACCAAAAATCTTGAATTATGTCGACCGTATGAGCGGGTGAAGTTCACCGACACTATCCAGGCACAAATTTTTTCGTTGAAATGAAATTCACTGATTCTGTGCTCATTTCCCCTTCGTGAGCAATTTCCTCGGTTATTATAGTCTTCCATGATTATTCGCGTAACCTTCCTAGTTCGCTTTTCATTTAGACTTGTGGATAATTTGAAGCGATTGTACTTGAAGCTTGATCTGATTTTTATCCATGGCATCATCGACAAAGGCCTGATGGATCTTCTCAGTGGTTTGACATTTAATATCACCAAGCATTTGGCAAAACTCGATGCAATATCTTTGCTCGACGCTTTCGACCATCTTACGGGAAAAGAAAAATCCTAGCAGCGGGTACTAAACGTCTGTAATCTAAGCGTAACAGGCGGGAACTGACGTGGCCTACTGGCGCGAAAAAATTCAGGCATGCCCAGGAAGAATGGTGTCTCCTCTCAACAAAATGATTTTGCCTACGCTGTATTAGTTTGAGCGGGAAAAAATTGGTCGGTTACTTTTTGAACGCACCTCTTATATACAAAATTCAGCAGATGTTTGAAGACACATTTTTCTGGTTATCAATCTTTTGAAAATTATTTAAAGCCAGAAAATATTTATGGAATATAAAAACTTTCTGAAGATAATGATGATTTTACTTATACAGTTTTATATAGCTGGAGAGGAAAGAGGTGGATTCATGCCTTTCCCAGGGGTATTTGTGCGTAAATGGATATAATGAACCAGACTGGAATTGGAACTCGGTTCTCCGACATCAAAATCCAAGTCGCTATTCATTACATCACCCGCACATTCAAGCTTACAACATTCCAAATTTATCACCCATCTAGTTTCTGACCAGGCTCGACCTTGCTTAACATTCGGTGATCGTAAGGGGAACCGGTGTTTCAACGTGATAGGGCCATAAGCCTTTTCAAAGACAAGTTAATAAATGTTATGAAGTAAGTGATGAAATCTAACGTTTTCATTTCTTTCATATGTATTCTTTGTTTTCCTTTATTTTGTTTAACGGCATATCAACCTCAATGTGCTATTTAATGTCGACAACATTTTTACGATAGATTCGTATGAATAGAATATGTACTCTTTGGTTTAGATTGGTTTGGTTTATTTTGTTTTACGGCATATCAACCTCAATGGGTTATTTAACGCTGACAAAAAATTTTATTGCTGGTAATATTTTGTTTTGTCAAAAATCTTTTTCTGGTAATATATTTCCTTCAAAATTGTATTGCTGGTAATAATTTTTTTTACAAAAAGTATTGATGGCAATAGTTAACTATTTTCCCATAGCTGTGACCCTAACAGGTGCTACTACCCTGGCTCAGGGTGGACCTGGGAACAACAGCAATTAAGAGGTGGTTCCACGCTCTTCAAAACCTCATGATCAGAGGCATTGCTGCCTTACTGTTGGATGTAGTTTAACGTCTTACCCAGGAGACGTGGATATCTTTGGCTTGGAAATGTGTCGTTTATCACTTTTTAGAGAAAGGAAAATTCTAATAAGATAATAAAGTGTAGTAAAGTAGAATAAATTGAAGACAAAAGGGTCAAAGACAAACAGCGCATAACCTCTGCCTTACGAGCATGAATCAATCGATAGGACAACAGGGATTAGAAGAGATAGCAAGAAAACAAAATTGACTAAGAGCTACAAAAGAAAAGGAAATTGTAGAGAGCGATGATCGCAAATTCCTGAAGGAACATGGCAGGTAGGAGAAGGAGGACAGTTGATTTCATTTAGTACGTTAAGGGCATCATAAATTACGATCTCAACAAATTGATCAGTGCCATCCCTCAGCATCTCATGGTGGAACAGGTCATTATCAACCATCTGGTATTCGCAAGCTATCACCCATCACACGGTTATTAAGCCCAGGATGGAAGAAGCCGTAGAGGAAAAGCCGTAGAGAAGGAAGCCGTAGAGGGAAAACCGTAGACAAGGAGGCAGTAAAGGGAAAAACGTAGACAAGGAGGCAGTAAAGGGGAAGACGTAGACAAGGAGGCCGTAGAGGGGAAGACGTAGACAAGGAGGCCGTAGAGGGGAAGACGTAGACAAGGAAGCCATGGAGGGAAAGACATAGACAAAGAAGACATGGAGGGAAAGACTTAGACAGAAAAGCCGTAGAGGGGAAGATGTAGACAAGGAGTCCGTAGAGGGAAAGGCGTAAAGAAGGAAGCCGTAGAGGGAAAGCCGTAGAAAAGGAAGCCGTAGAGGGAAAGACGTAGATAAGGAGGCCGTAGGGGGAAAGCCGTAGACAAGGAGTCCGTAGAGAGAAAGCCGTAGACAAGGAGTCCGTAGAGAGAAAGCTATAGAGAAGGGAGCCGTAGAGGGAAAGCCGTAGACAAGGAAGCCGTAGAGGGAAAGACGTAGACAAGGAAGCCGTAGAGAGAAAAACGTAGACAAGGGGGCCGTAGACAAGGAGGACGTAGAGGGGAAGCCGCAGAGGGAAAGCCGTAGACAAGGAGTCCGTAGAGGGAAAGCCGTAGAGAAGGGAGCCGTAGAGGGAAAACCGTATACAAGGAAGCCGTAGAGGGAAAAACGTAGACAAGGATGTAGTAAGGGGGAAGACGAAGACAAGCAGGCCGTAGAGGGAAAGACGTAGACAAGGAGGACGTAGAGGGATTGACGTAGACAAGGAAGCCATGGAGGGAAAGACGTAGACAAGGAAGACATGAAGGGAAAGACTTAGACAGGAAAGCCGTAGAGGGAAAGCCGTAGAGAGGAAAGCCGTAGACAAGAAGTCCGTAGAGGGAAAGCTGTAAAGAAGGAAGCCGTAGAGGAAAAACCGTAGAAAAGGAAGCCGTAGAGAGAAAGACGTAGATAAGGAGGCCGTAGGGGGAAAGCCGTAGACAAGGAGTCCGTAGAGAGAAAGCCGTAGAGAAGGTAGCCGTAGAGGGAAAGCCGTAGACAAGGAAGCCGTAGACAAGGAAGCCGGAGAGGGAAAGACGTAGACAAGGAAGCCGTAGAGAGAAAAACGTAGACAAGGGGGCTGTAGACAAGGAGGACGTAGAGGGAAAGCCGTAGAGAAGGAGTCAGTAGAGGGAAAGCCGTAGACAAGGATGCCGTAGAGGGAAGCCGTAGACAAGGAAGCCGTAGAGAGAACGCCGTAGAAAAGGAGGCCGTAGAGGGAAAGCCGTAGACAAGGAAGCCAGAGAGGGAAAGACGTAGACAAGGAAGACGGAGAGGGAAAGCCGTAGATAAGGGTGTCTGTAGACAAAGAGGCCACATAGGGAAAGCTGTAGAGGGTAAGCCATAGACAAGGAGTCGGTAGAGGGAAAGCCGTAGAGAAGGGGGCCATAGAGGGAAAGACGTAGACAAGGAGTCCGTAGAGGGAAAGCCGTAGACAAGGAGTCCATAGAGGGAAAGCCGTAGAAAGGGAGCCGCAGAAGAAAAACCGTAGACAAGGATGCCTTAGAGGGAAAGACGTAGAAAAGGAAGCCATAGAGGGAAAGCCGTAAACAAGGAGGCCGTAGAGGGAAACACGTAGATAAGGAATCCATGGAGGGAAAGACGTAGACAAGGAAGCCGGAGAGGGAATGCCGTAGAGGGAAAGCCGTAGACAAGGAGTCCGTAGAGGGAAAGCCGTAGAGAAGGGAGCCGTAGAGGGAAAGCCGTAGAGAAGGGAGCCGTAGAGGGAAAGACGTAGACAAGAAAGCCGTAGAGGGAAAGCCATAGACAAGGTGCCGTAGAGGGAAAGCCGTAGAGAAGGGAGCCGTAGAGGTAAAACCGTAGACAAGGAGGCCGCAGAAAGAAAGCTGTAGAGGGAAAGCCGTACACAAGAAGTCCGTAGAGAGAAAGCCGGAGAAAGGGAGCCGTAGAGGGAAAACCGTAGACAAGGTTGCCGTAGAGGGAAACGCGTAAACAAGGAAGCCAGGGAGCGAAAGACTTAGACAAAGAGGGCATGGAGGCAAAGACGTAGACAAGGAAGCCGTAGAGGGAAAGCCGTAGAGAGAAAGCCGTAGACAAGGAGTCCGTAGAGAGAAAGCCGTAGAGAATGGTACCGTACAGAGAAAGACGTAGACAAGGAAGCCGTAGGGGAAAAGCCGTAGACAAGGGGGCCGTAGACAAGGACGCCGTAGAGGGAAAGCCGTAGACAAGGAGTCCGTAGAGGGAAAGCCGTAGAGAAGGGAGCCGTAGAGGAAAAAACGTACACAAGGATGCCCTAGAGGAAATGCCGTAGACAAGGATGCCGTAGAGGGAAAGCAGTAGACAAGGAAGCGTTAGAGGGAAAGACGTAGATAAGGAGGCTGTAGAGGGAAAGCCGTAGACAAAGAGATCCGTAGAGAGAAAGCCGTAATGAAGGGAGCCGTAGAGGGAAAGCCGTAGACAAGGAAGCCATAAAGGGAAAGACAATGAAGCCGTAGAGAGAAAGTCGTAGACAAGGGGGCCTTTGAGGGAAAGCAGCAGAAAGGGAGCCGTAGAGGGAAGGCCGTAGAGAACGAGTCCGTAGAGGGAAAGCCGTAGAAAGGGAGCCGTATAGGGAAAGCTGTTGCCAAGGGGGGCGTAGAGGGAAAGCACTAGCGAAGGGAGCCGTAGAGGGAAAGCCGTAGAAAAGGAGTCCGTAGAGGAAAAGCCGTAGAAAGGGAGCCGTATAGGGAAAAACGTACACAAGGATGACGTAGAGGGAAAGACGTAGACAAGAAAGCCGTAGACGAGGAGTCCGTAGAGAGAAAGCCGAAGAGAATGGAGCCGTAGAGGGAAGGACGTAGACATGGAAGCCGTAGAGGGAAAGCCGTAGACAAGGGGCCCGTAGACAAGGAGGCCGTAGAGGGAAAGTTGTAGAGGGGCGTAGACAAGGAAGCCGTAGAGGGAAATCTGTAGATAAGGAGTCCGTAGAGGGAAAGCCGTAAAGAAGAAAGCAGTAAAGGAAAGCCGTAGACAAGGAGGACGTAGAGAGAAAGCCGTAGACAAGGAAGCCATAGAAGGAAAGACACGGAAGCCGTAGAGGGAAAGTCGTAGACAAGAAGGCCGTAGAGGTATAGAGAAGGAAGCAGTAGAGGGAAAGCCGTAAAGAAGGTAACCTTAGAGGGAAACCGTAAAGAAGGAAGCCGTAGAGGGAAAGGAGTAGGCAAGGAAGACGTAGACAAGGGAGCGGTAGACAAGTAGGCCGTAGAGGGAAAGCCGTAGAGCGAAAACCGTAGACAAGAAAGCCGTAGAGGGAAAGCCGTACGCAAGGAAGCCGTAGAGGGAAAGCCGTACACAAGGACGCCGTAGAGGGAAAGCCGTACACAAGGACGCCGTAGAGGGAAAGCCGTAAAGAAGGAAGCCGTAGAGGGGAAGCCGTAGATAACGAGGCCGGAGATATGGGAGCCGTAGACAAGTAGGCCGTAGAGGGAAAGCCGTAGAGGGAAAGACGTAGACAAAGAGTCCGTAGAGGTAAAGCCCTGAAGAAGGGAGCCGTAGAGGGAAAAGCGTAGACAAAGATGCCGTAGACGGAAAGACGTAGACAAGGAAGCCGTAGAGGGAAAGCCGTAGACAAGGGGGCCGTAGACAAGGATGCCGTAGAGGGAAAGCCGTAGATAAGGAGGCCGTAGAGGGAAAGTCGTAGACAAGGAGGACATAGAGGGAAAGCCATAGACAAGGAAGCCATAGAAGGAAAGACACGGAAGCCGTAGAGGGAAAGTCGTAGACAAAGGGGTCGTAGACAAGAAGGCCGTAGAGGTAAAGCCGTAGATGGAAAACCGTAGAAAAGAAGCAGCAGAGGGAGAGCCGTAGATAAGGAGGCCGTAGAGGGAAAGCCGTAGACAAGTAAGCCGTAGAGAGAAAGCCGTAAAGAAGGAAGACGTAGAGGGGAAGACGTATACAAGACAGCCGTAGAGGCAAAGCCGTAGACAAGGAGTCCGTATAGGGAAAGCCGTAGAGAAGGGAGCCGTAGAGGGAAAAACGTAGACAAGGATGCCGTAGAGGGAAAGCCGTAGACAAGGAGGCCGTAGAGGGAAAGCCGTAGATTAGGAAGACATAGAGGGAAAGACCTGGACCAGGAAGACGTAAAGGGAAAGCCGTAGACAAGGGGGCCGTAGACAATGAGGCAGTAGAGAGAAAACCGTAGCATAGGATGCCGTAGAAAGAAAGCTATAGCCATGGAAGCCATAGAGGGAAAGACGTAGACAAGGAAGCCGTAGAGGGGAAGCCGTATATAAGGAAGCCTTAGACAAGGGGGCCGTAGACAAGGAGGCCGTAGAGGGAAAGTTGTACGGGGAAAGCCGTAGACAAGGAGTCCGTAGAGGGAAAGTCGTATAGAAGGGAGCCGTAGAGGAAAAACAGTAGAAAAGGAGGCCGTAGAGGAAAGCCGTAGACAAGGAATCCGTAGAGAGAAAGCCGTAGAGAAGGTAGCCGTAGAGGGAAAGCCGTAGACAATGAAGCTGTAGAGAGAAAGACGTAGATAAAACGTTCGTAGAGGGAAAGCCGTAGAGTAGAGAACCGTAGAGAACTGTAGACAAGGAAGCCATAGACGGAAAGACCTAAAGAAGGAAGCCGTAGAGGTGAAACCGTAGATAAGGAGGCCGTAGACAAGGGGGCCGGAGACAAGGAGGCCGTAGAGGGAAAGCTATTGTCAAGTAAGCCATAGAGGGAAAGACGTAGACAAGGAAGCCGTAGAGGAAGGCCGTAGAGGGAAAGACGTAGAGAAGTGAACCGTAGAAAGAAAAACGTAGAAAAGGATGGCGTAGACGGAAAGCCTAGACAAGGAAGCCGTAGAGGGAAAGCCGCAGATAAGGAGGCCGTAGAGGGAAAGCCGTAGAGAAGGAGTCCGTAGAGAGAAAGCCGTAGAAGGAAAATCGTAGAAAAGGAAGCCATAGAGAAAAAACCGTAAACAAGGAAGCCGTAGTGGGAAAGCCGTAGATAAGTAGTCCGTAGAGGGAAAGAGGTAGACAAGGAAGCCATAGAGGGAAATCCGTAAAGAAGGAAGCCGTAGAGGGGAAGCGGTAGATAAGGAGTCCCTAGACATGGGAGCCGTAGACAAGGAGTCCGTGGAGGGAAAGACGTAGAGAAGGGAGCCGTAGAGGGAAAACCGTAGACAAGGAAGCCATAGACGGAAAGACGTAGACAAGGAAGCCGTAGAGGGAAAGCCGTAGAGAAGGAAGCGATAGAGGGGAAGCCGTTGGGTAAGGAGGCCGTAGACAAGGGGCTGTAGACAAGGAAGCCATAGAGGGAAAGCCGCAGAGGGAAAGCCGTAGTCAAGACGTCCGTAGAGGGAAAGCCGTAGAGAAGTAAGCCGCAGTGGAAAAACCGTAGACAAGGATGCCGTAGAGGGAAAGCCGTAGACTAGGAAGCCATAGAGGGAAAGACGTAGACAAGGAAGCCGTACAGGGAAAGCTGTAAAGACGGAAGCCGTAGAGAGGAAGCGGTAGATAAGGAGGACGTAGACAAGGTGGCCGTAGACAAGGAGGCCGTAGAGGGAAAGCCATAGCCAAGTAAGCCATAGAGGAAAAGACGTAGACAAGGAAGCCGTACAGAGAAAGCCGCAAAGAAGGAAGCCGTAGAGGGGAAGCCGTAGATAACGAGGCCGTAGACAAGGTGGCCGTAGACAAGGAGGCCGTAGAGGGAAAGCCATAGCCAAGTAAGCCATAGAGGGAAAGACGTAGACAAGGAAGCCGTAGAGGGAAAGCCGTAAATAATGAAGCCGTAGAGGGGAAGACGTAGATATTGAGGCCGTAGACAAGGGGCCGTAGACAAGGAGGCCGTAGAGGGAAAGCCGTAGAAAAGTAGTCCGTAGAGGGAAAGCCGTAGAGAAGGGAGCCGTACAGGGAAAACCGTAGACAAGGATGCCGTAGAGGGAAAGCCGTAGACAAGGAAGCCCTTGAGGGAAAGCCGCAAATAAGGAGGCCGTAGAGGGAAAGCCGTAGACAAGGAGCCGTAGAAGGAGAACCGTAGAAAAGGAAGCCATAGAGGTAAAGCCGTAAACAAGGAAGCCGTAGAGGGAAACTGTAGGGAAAGAAGCAGTAGAGGGAAAGCCGAAGATAAGGAGGCCGTAGAGGGAAAGCCGTAGACAAGGAAGCCATACAGGGAAACCCGTAAAGAAGGAAGCCGTTGAGGGAAAGCCGTGGAGGCGAAGCCGTAGACAAGGAGTCCGTAGAGGGAAAGCCGTAGAGAAGGGAGCCGTAGAGGGAAAGCCGTAGACAAGGAGGCCGTAGAGGGTAAGCCGGAGAGAAGGGAGCCGGAGAGGGAAAGCCGTAGACAAGGAAGCCGTAGAGGGAAAGCCGTAGATAAGGAGGCCGTAGAGAGAAAGCTGTAAAGAAGAAAGCCGTAGAGTGGAAGCCGTAGACAAGGAAGACGTAGAGGGAAAGCGTAGATAAGTAGGCCGTAGAGGGAAAGCCGTAGAGGGAAAGCCGTAGACAAGGGGGTCGTAGACAAGGAGGCCGTAGAAGGAAAGCCGTCGACAAGGAGGACGTAGAGGAAAGCCGTAGAAAAGGAAGCCATAGAAGGAAAGACACGGAAGCCGTAGAGGGAAAGTCGTAGACAAAAGGGTCGTAGACAAGAAGGCCGTAGACAAGAAGGCCGTAGAGGTAAAGCCGTAGATGGAAAACCGTAGAAAAGAAGCAGCAGAGGGAGAACTGAGATAAAGGAGGCTGTCGAGGGAAAGCCAGACAAGTAAGCTGTAGAGAGAAAAGCCAAAGAAGGAAGAGAGAGGGAAAGAGTATACAAGGAGTCTGCAGAGGGAAAGCCGCAGAGAAGGAGCCGTAGAGGAAAAAGCTGCAGACAAGGGAGCCGTAGAGGGAAAGCAGTAGACAAGGAGGCTGTAGAGGGAAAGCCGTAGACTAGGAAGACATAGAGGGAAAGACCTGGACCAGGAAGATGTAGAGGGAAAGCTGTAGTCAAGGGGGCCGTAGACAATGAGGCCGTAGAGGGAAAACTGTAGCATAGGATGCCGTAGAGGGAAAGCTATAGCCATGGAAGCCATAGAGGGAAAGACGTAGACAAGGAAGCCGTAGAGGGGAAGCCGTATATAAGGAAGCCTTAGACAAAGTCGCCGTAGACAAGGAGGCCGTAGAGGGAAAGTTGTACGGGGAAAGCCGTAGACAAGGAGTCCGTAGAAGGAAAGTCGTATAGAAGGGAGCCGGAGAGGAAAAACCGTAGAAAAGGATGCCGTAGACGGAAAGCCGTAGATAAGGAGGCCGTAGAGGAAAGCCGTAGACAAGGAGAGCGTAGAGAGAAAGACGTAGAGGGAAAACCGTAGAAAAGGAAGCCATAGGAAGGCGTTGAGGGAAAGACGTAGACAAGGGAGCCGTAGAGGGAAAGCCTTACATAAGGAGGCCGTAGACAAGGTCGCCGTAGAGTGAAAGCCGTAGATAAGGAGGCCGTAGAGGGAAAGCCGTAGAGGGAAAGCCGTAGACAAGGAAGCCGTAGAGGTTAAAGCCGCAGAGAATGAAGCCGTATAGGGAAAGCCGTAGAGAAGGAAGCCATAGAGGGAAAGCCGTAATAAGGAAGCCGTAGTGGCAAAGCCGTAGAGAAGGAAGCCGTAGACGGAAAGACGTAGAGAAGGAAGCCGTAGAGGGAAACCGTAAAGAAGGAAGCCGTAGAGGGAAACCGTAAAGAAGGAAGCCGTAGAGGGAAAGCCGCAGAGAATGAAGACGTATAGGGAAAGCCGTAGAAAAAGAAGCTGTAGAGGGAAAGCCGTAGTTAATGAAGCCGTAGAGGGAAAACCGTAGACAAGTAAGCCGTAGAGGGAAAGCCGTAGACAAGGAGTCCGTAGAATGAAGGCCGTAAAGAAGGAAGCCGTAGTGGGAAAGCCGTAGATAAGGAGGCCGTAGAGAGAAAACCGTAGAGAAGGAAGCCGTACAGGGAAAGCCGTAGAGAATGTAGCCGTACAGGGAAAGCCGTAGATGGAAAACCGTAAAGAAAGGAAGCAGAAGAGGGAAAACATTAGTGAAGGAAGCCGTAGAGGGAAAGCCGTAAAGATGGAAGCCGTAGAGGGAAAGCCGTAGACAAGGAAGCCTTAGAGGGAAAGCCGTACACAAGAAAGTCGTAGAGAAGGGAGCCGTAGCGGGAAAAGCGTAGAGAAGGAAGCCGTAGAGGGAAAGCTCTAGACAAGGAAGCCGTAGAGAAGGGAGCCGTAGAGGGAAAGCCGTAGACAAGGAAGCCGTAGAGGGAAACACGTAGAGAAGGAAGTCGTAGAGGGAAAGCCGTAAAGAAGGAAGCCGTAGAGGGAAAGCCGTAGATAAGGATGCCGTAGACGGAAAGCCGTAGAGAAGGAAGCCGTAGAGACGGAAGCCGTAGAGTGAAAGCCGTAAAGAAGGAAGCCGTAGAGGGAAACCGTAAAGAAGGAAGCCGTAGAGGGAAAGCCGCAGAGAATGAAGGCCTAGAGGGAAAGCCGTAGAGAAGGAAATCGTAGAGGGAAAACCGTAGACAAGGATGTCGTAGACGGAAAGCCGTAGATAACGACGCCGTAAAGGGAAAGCCGTAGACAAGGAGAGCGTAGAGAGAAAGCCGTAGAGGGAAAACTGTAGAAAATGAAGCCATAGAGGTAAAGCCGTAGACAAGAAAGCCGTTGAGGGAAAGACGTATACAAGGGAGCCGTTGAGGGAAAGCCTTAGATAAGGAGGCCGTAGAGGGAAAGCCGTAGAGGGATAACCGTTGAAAAGGAAGCCATAGAGGTAAAGCCGTAGACAAGGAAGCCGTAAAGGGAAGGCCGTAGAAGGAAGCCTTCGAGCAAAAGCCGTAGATAAGGAGGCCGTAGACGGAAAGACGTAGAGAAGGAAGACGTTGAGGGAAAGTTAGTAAAGAAGAAAGCGTAGAGGGAAAGCCGTAGACAAGGTAGCCGTAGAAAGAAAGCCGTAGATAAGGAGGCCGTAGAGGGAAAGCCGTAGACAAGGAAGCCGTAGAGGGAAATCCGTAAAAAAGAAGCCTTAGAGGGGAAGCCGTAGACAAGGAAGACATAGAGAAAAAGACGTAGACAAGGAAGCCGTGGAGGGAAAGTTAGTAAAAAAAAAAGCGTAGAGGGAAAGCCGTAGAGAAGGTAGCCGTAGCGGGAAAGCCGTAGAAATGGAAGCCGTAGAGGGAAAGCCGCAGACAAGGAAGCCGTAGATGGAAAGCCGTAGATAAGGAGGCCTTTGAGGGAAAGATGTAGAGAAGGAAGCCGTAGAGTGAAAGCCGTAAAGAAGGAAGCCGTAGACAATGTAGCCGTAGAGTGAAAGCTGCAGATAAGGAGGTCGTAGAGGGAAAGCCGTAGAGAAGGAAGCTGGAGAGAGAAAGCCCAAAGAAGGAAGCTGTAGAGGGAAAGCTGCAGACAAGGAAGCCGTGGGAGGGAAAGCCGCAGAGAATGAAGCCGTAGACGGAAAGCTGTAGAGAAGGAAGCCATAGAGGAAAGCTGCGTAAGGAAGCCGTAGTGGGGAAAGCCGCAGAGAATGAAGCCGTAGAGGGAAAGCTGTAGAGAAGGAAGCCGTAGATGTAAACCGTAAAGAAGGAAGCCGTAGAGGGAAAGCTGTAGAGAACGAAGCCGTAGAGGGAAAGCTGTAGAGAAGGGGAAGCTGTAGAGAGAAAACCGTAAAGAAGGGAGCCGTAGTGGGAAAGCCGTAGATAAGGAAGCCATGGAGGGAAAGACGTAGACAAGGAAGCCGGAGAGGGAAAGCCGTAGAGGGAAAGCCGTAGGCAAGGAATTCGTAGAGGGAAAGCCGTAGTTAAGGAAGCCGTAGAGGGAAAACCGTAGAGAAGGAAGCCGTAGCGGTAAAGCCGTAGACAAGGAGTGCGTAGAGGGAAAGCCGTAGATAATGAAGCCGTAGAGGGAAAGCCTTAGATAATGCGGCCGTAGAGGGAAAGCCGTAAAGAAGGAAGCAGTAAAGGGAAATCCGTAAAGAAGGAAACCGTAGAGGAATGCCGTAGAGAAAGAAGCCGTAGAGGGAAAGCCGTAGAGAAGGAAGCCAGAGGGAAAGCCAAAGAAGGAAGCTGTAGAGAGAAAGCCGTAGACAAGGATCTCTAGAGGGAAAGCATGTAGACAAAGGAGCACGTAGAAGGAAAGCCGTAGATAATGAAAACCGTAAGAGGAAAAGGCGTAGATAAAGGAGGCCGTAGAGGGAAACCTGTATAGAAGGATGCCCTAGAGGGAAAGCCACAAAGAAGGAAGCCAGAAGAAAAAGCAGACAAGAAAGCCGCAGTAGAGAAGGGAGCCGTAGTGGGAAAGCTGTAGAGAAGGATGCTGTAGAGGGAAAGCTTTAGACAAGGAAGCTGTAGAGAAGAAAGCTGTAGAGGGGAAAGCTGTAGAGGGAAAGCTGTAGACAAGGAAGCTGTAGACAAGGAAGCTGTAGAGGGAAATCTGTAGACGAAGGAAGCTGTAGAGGGAAAGCTGTAGAGATGGAAGCCCTAGAGGGAAAGCTGCAAAGAAGGAAGGTATAGAGGGAAAGCTGTAGATAAGGATGCTGTAGACGGAAAGCTGTAGAGAGGAAGTAGTAGAGAATGAAGCTGTAGAGGGAAACTGTAAAGAAGGAAGCTGTAGAGGGAAAGCTGCAGTGAATGAAGCTGTAGAGGGAAGGCTGTAGAGAAGGAAGCTGTAGAAGGAAAGCAAAAGAAGGAAACTGTAGTGGTAAAGCTGCAGATAAGGAGGCCGTAGAGGGAAAGCCGTAGTTAAGGGAAGCCGTAGTTAAAGAAGCCGTAGAGGAAAACCGTAGAGAAGGAAGCGTGGTGGCAAAGCCGTGAGAAAAGGAAGCTGTAGAGGAAAGCCGTAGATAATGGAAGCCGTAGAGGGATAGCCTTAGATAAGTAGGCCGTAGAGGGAAAGCCGTAGAGAAGGAAGCCGTAGATGTAAACCGTAGAGAAGGAAGCCGTAGAGGGAAAGCCGCAGACAAGGAAGCCGTAGATGGAAAGCCGTAGATAAGGAGGCCGTTGAGGGAAAGATGTAGAGAAGGAAGCCGTAGAGTGAAAGCCGTAAAGAAGGAAGCCGTAGACAATGTAGCCGTAGAGTGAAAGCCGTAGATAAGGAGGTCGTAGAGGGAAAGCCGTAGAGAAGGAAGCCGGAGAGAGAAAGCCGTAAAGAAGGAAGCCGTAGAGGGAAAGCCGTAGACAAGGAAGCCGTGGAGGGAAAGCCGCAGAGAATGAAGCCGTAGACGGAAAGCCGTAGAGAAGGAAGCCATAGAGGGAAAGCCGTAATAAGGAAGCCGTAGTGGGAAAGCCGCAGAGAATGAAGCCGTAGAGGGAAAGCCGTAGAGAAGGAAGCCGTAGATGTAAACCGTAAAGAAGGAAGCCGTAGAGGGAAAGCCGTAGAGAACGAAGCCGTAGAGGGAAAGCCGTAGAGAAGGAAGCCGTAGAGAGAAAACCGTAAAGAAGGGAGCCGTAGTGGGAAAGCCGTAGATAAGGAAGCCATGGAGGGAAAGACGTAGACAAGGAAGCCGGAGAGGGAAAGCCGTAGAGGGAAAGCCGTAGGCAAGGAATTCGTAGAGGGAAAGCCGTAGTTAAGGAAGCCGTAGAGGGAAAACCGTAGAGAAGGAAGCCCTAGAGGTAAAGCCGTAGACAAGGAAGCCGTAGAGGGAAAGCCGTAGACAAGGTGTGCGTAGAGGGAAAGCCGTAGATAATGAAGCCGTAGAGGGAAAGCCTTAGATAATGCGGCCGTAGAGGGAAAGCCGTAAAGAAGGAAGCAGTAAAGGGAAATCCGTAAAGAAGGAAACCGTAGAGGAATGCCGTAGAGAAAGAAGCCGTAGAGGGAAAGCCGTAGAGAAGGAAGCCGTAGAGGGAAAGCCGTAAAGAAGGAAGCCGTAGAGAGAAAGCCGTAGACAAGGAATCTCTAGAGGGAAAGCCGTTGACAAGGAGTACGTAGAAGGAAAGCCGTAGATAATGAAACCGTAGAGGGAAAGACGTAGATAAGGAGGCCGTAGAGGGAAACCTGTATAGAAGGATGCCCTAGAGGGAAAGCCGTAAAGAAGGAAGCCGTAGAAGGAAAGCAGTAGACAAGAAAGCCGCAGAGAAGGGAGCCGTAGCGGGAAAGCCGTAGAGAAGGATGCCGTAGAGGGAAAGCTTTAGACAAGGAAGCCGTAGAGAAGAAAGCCGTAGAGGGAAAGCCGTAGAGGGAAAGCCGTAGACAAGGAAGCCGTAGACAAGGAAGCCGTAGAGGGAAATCCGTAGACAAGGAAGCCGTAGAGGGAAAGCCGTAGAGATGGAAGCCCTAGAGGGAAAGCCGTAAAGAAGGAAGGCATAGAGGGAAAGCCGTAGATAAGGATGCCGTAGACGGAAAGCCGTAGAGAAGGAAGCAGTAGAGAATGAAGCCGTAGAGGGAAACCGTAAAGAAGGAAGCCGTAGAGGGAAAGCCGCAGTGAATGAAGCCGTAGAGGGAAAGCCGTAGAGAAGGAAGCCGTAGAAGGAAAGCCGTAAAGAAGGAAGCCGTAGTGGGTAAAGCCGTAGATAAGGAGGCCGTAGAGGGAAAGCCGTAGTTAAGGAAGCCGTAGTTAAAGAAGCCGTAGAGGGAAAACCGTAGAGAAGGAAGCCGTGGTGGCAAAGCCGTAGAAAAGGAAGCTGTAGAGGGAAAGCCGTAGATAATGAAGCCGTAGAGGGATAGCCTTAGATAAGTAGGCCGTAGAGGGAAAGCCGTAGAGAAGGAAGCCGTAGATGTAAACCGTAGAGAAGGAAGCCGTAGAGGGAAAGCCGAAGAGAATGAAGCCGTAGAGGGAAAGCCGTAGAGAAGCCGTAGAGAGAAAACCGTAAAGAAGGAAGCCGTAATGGGAAAGCCGTAGATAAGGAAGCCATGGATGGAAAGACGTAGACAAGGAAGCCGGAGAGGGAAAGCCGTAGAGGGAAAGCCGTAGAGGGAAAGCCGTAGACAAGGAGTGCGTAGAGGGAAAGCCGTAGTTAAGGAAGCCGTAGAGGGAAAACCGTAGAGAAGGAAGCCCTAGAGGTAAAGCCGTAGACAAGGAAGCCGTAGAGGGAAAGCCGTAGACAAGGTGTGCGTAGAGGGAAAGCCGTAGATAATGAAGCCGTAGAGGGAAAGCCTTAGATAAGGCGGCCGTAGAGGGAAAGCCTTAGATAAGGCGGCCCTAGAGGGAAAGCCGTAAAGAAGGAAGCAGTAAAGGGAAATCCGTAAAGAAGGAAACCGTAGAGGAATGCCGTAGAGAAAGAAGCCGTAGAGGGAAAGCCGTAGAGAAGGAAGCTTTGGAGGGAAAGCCGTAAAGAAGGAAGCCGTAGAGAGAAAGCCGTAGACAAGGAATCTCTAGAGGGAAAGCCGTAGACAAGGTGTACGTAGAAGGAAAGCCATAGATAATGAAGCCTTAGAGGGAAAGACGTAGATAAGGAGGCCGTAGAGGGAAAGCTGTATAGAAGGATGCCGTAGAGGGAAAGCCGTAAAGAAGGAAGCCGTAGAGGGAAAGCCGTAGACAAGAAAGCCGCAGAGAAGGGAGCCGTAGCGGGAAAGCCGTAGAGAAGGATGCCGTAGAGGGAAAGCTTTAGACAAGGAAGGCGTAGAGAAGGAAGCCGTAGAGGGAAAGCCGTAGAGGGAAAGCCGTAGAGGGAAAGCCGTAGACAAGGAAGCCGTAGAGGGAAAGCCGTAGAGAAGGAAGCCGTAGAAGGAAAGCCGTAAAAAAGGAAGCCGTAGAGGGAAAGCCGTAGATAAGGATGCCGTAGACGGAAAGCCGTAGAGAAGGAAGCCGTAGAGAAGGAAGCCGTAAAGGGAAATCCGTAAAGAAGGAAGCCCTAGAGGGAAAGCCGTAGACAAGGAAGCCGTAGAGGTAAAGCCGTAGAGATGGAAGCCCTAGAGGGAAAGCCGTAAAGAAGGAAGCCGTAGAGGGAAAGCCGTAGATAAGGATGCCGTAGACGGAAAGCCGTAGAGGGATAGCCTTAGATAATTAGGCCGTAGAGGGAAAGCCGTAAAGAAGGAAGCCGTAGAGTGGAACCATAAAGAAGGAAGCCGTAGAGTGAAAGCCGCAGAGAATTAAGCCGTAGTGGGAAAGCTGCAGAGAAGGAAGCAGTAGAGGGAAAGCCGTAAAGAAGGTAACCTTAGAGGGAAACCGTAAAGAAGGAAGCTGTAGGAGGAAAAGACGTAGAAAAGGAAGCAGTAGAGGGAAATGCTGTAAAGATGGGAAGCTGTAGAGGGAAACCGTAGACAAGGGAAGCCGTTGAGGGAAAGACGTAGAAAAGGGAGCTGTAGAGGGAAAGCTTAGATAAGGAGGCCGTAGAGGGAGAAAAGCTGTAGAGGGAAAAGGAAGCTATAGTGGTAAAGCTGTAGGCAAAGGAAGCCTGAGCAAAGCCGTAGATAAAGAGGCCGTAGAGGGAACGACGTAGATAAGGAAGAAGTTGAGGGAAAGTTAGTAAAGAAGAAAGCGTAGAGGGAAAGCCGTAGACAAGGTAGCCGTAGTAGGAAAGCCGTAGATAAAGAGGCCGTAGAGGGAAAGTCGTAGACAAGGAAGCCGTAGAGGAAAATCGGTAAAGAAGGAAACCGTAGATGGGAAGCCGTACACAAGGAAGACATAGTGAAAAAGACGTAGACAAGGAAGCCGTGGAGGGAAAGTTAGTAAAGAAGAAAGCGGAGTGGGAAAGCCGTAGACAAGGTAGCCGTAGAGGGAAAGCCGTAGAAAAGGAGTCCGTAGAGGGAAAGCCGTAGATAATGAAGACGTAGAGGGAAAGCCTTAGATAAGGAGGCCGTAGAGGGAAAGCCGTAGAGAAGGAAGCCGTAGAGGGAAAGCCGTAAAGAAGAAAGCCGTAGACAAGGAAGCCGTAGACAAGGAAGCCGTAGAGGGAAAGCTGTAGATAAGGAGGCCGTAGAGGGAAAGCCGTAGACAAGGAAGCTGTAGAGGGAAAACCGTAGACATGGAAGCCGTAGAGCGAAATCCGTAGATAAGGAGGCTGTAGAGGGAAAGCCGTGGAGAAGGAAGCCGTAGTGGAAAACCGTAGAGAACTAAGCCGCAGAGGGACAGCCGTAGACAAGGAGAGCGTAGAGAGAAAGTCGTAGAGGGAAAGCCGTAGAAATGGAACCCATAGAGGTAAAGCCGTAGACAAGGAAGCCGTTGAGGGAAAGACGTAGCCGAGGGAGCCGTAGAGGGAAAGCCTTAGATAAGGTGGCCGTAGAGGGAAAGCCGTAGATAAGGAGGTCGTAGAGGGAAAGCCGTAAAGAAGGAAACCGTAGACAATGAAGCCGTAGACAAGGAAGCCTTAGAGGGAAAGCCGTAGATAAGGAGGCCGTAGAAGGAAAGTCGTAGATAAGGAGGCTGTTGAGAGAAAGACGTAGAGAAGGAAGCCGTAGAGGGAAAGCCTTAGATAAGGAGGGCGTAGAGGGAAAGCCGTAGAGGGAAAACCGTTGAAAAGGAAGCCATAGAGGTAAAGCCGTAGGCAAGGAAGCCGTAAAGGGAAGGCCGTAGAAGGAAGCCTTCGAGCAAAAGCCGTAGATAAGGAGGCCGTAGAGGGAAAGACGTAGATATGGAAGAAGTGGAGGGAAAGTTAGTAAAGAAGAAAGCGTACAGGGAAAGCCGTAGACAAAGTAGCCGTAGAAGGAAAGCCGTAGATAAAGAGGGCGTAGTGGGAAAGCCGTAGACAAGGAAGCCGTAGAGGGAAAGCCGAAGAGAAGGAAGCCGGAGAGGGAAAGCCGTAAAGATGGAAGCCGTAGACTAGAAAGCCGTAGACAAGGAAGCCGTAGAGGGAAAGCCGTAGAGAAGGAAGCCGTGGAGGGAAAGCCGTAAAGATGGAAGCCGTAGACTAGGAAGCCTTAGACAAGGAAGCCGTAGACTAGGAAGCCTTAGACATGGAAGCCGTAGAGGGAAAGCTGAAGATAAGGAGGTCGTAGAGGGAAAGCCGGAGACAAAGAAGCTGTAGAGGAAAAGCCGTAGATAAGGAGGCTGTAGAGGGAAAGCCGTAGATAAGGAGGCTGTAGAGGGAAAGCCGTAGAGAAGGAAGCCGTAGAGGAAAAGCCGTAGAGAACTAAGCCGTAGAGGGACAGCCGTAGACAAGGAAGCCGTAGAGGTAAAGCCGTAGAGATGGAAGCCCTAGAGGGAAAGCCGTAGATAAGGATGCCGTAGACGTTAAGCCGTAGAGGGATAGCCTTAGATAATTAGGCCGTAGAGGGAAAGCCGTAAAGAAGGAAGCCGTAGAGTGGAACCATAAAGAAGGAAGCCGTAGAGTGAAAGCCGCAGAGAATTAAGCCGTAGTGGGAAAGCCGTAGAGAAGGAAGCGGTAGAGGGAAACCCGTAAAGAAGGTAACCTTAGAGGGAAACCGTAAAGAAGGAAGCCGTAGAGGAAAAGACGTAGAAAAGGAAGCAGTAGAGGGAAATGCCGTAAAGATGGAAGCCGTAGAGGGAAACCGTAGACAAGGAAGCCGTTGAGGGAAAGACGTAGAAAAGGGAGCCGTAGAGGGAAAGCCTTAGATAAGGAGGCCGTAGAGGGAAAGCCGTAGAGGGAAAAGGAAGCCATAGTGGTAAAGCCGTAGGCAAGGAAGCCTTCGAGCAAAAGCCGTAGATAAAGAGGCCGTAGAGGGAACGACGTAGATAAGGAAGAAGTGGAGGGAAAGTTAGTAAAGAAGAAAGCGTAGAGGGAAAGCCGTAGACAAGGTAGCCATAGTAGGAAAGCCGTAGATAAAGAGGCCGTAGAGGGAAAGTCGTAGACAAGGAAGCCGTAGAGGAAAATCGGTAAAGAAGGAAAGCGTAGATGGGAAGCCGTACACAAGGAAGACATAGTGAAAAAGACGTAGACAAGGAAGCCGTGGAGGGAAAGTTAGTAAAGAAGAAATCGTAGAGGGAAAGCCGTAGACAAGGTAGCCGTAGAGGGAAAGCCGTAGAAAAGGAGTCCGTAGAGGGAAAGCCGTAGATAATGAAGACGTAGAGGGAAAGCCTTTGATAAGGAGGCCGTAGAGGGAAAGCCGTAGAGAAGGAAGCCGTAGAGGGAAAGCCGTAAAGAAGAAAGCCGTAGACAAGGAAGCCGTAGACAAGGAAGCCGTAGAGGGAAAGCTGTAGATAAGGAGGCCGTAGAGGGAAAGCTGTAGACAAGGAAGCTGTAGAGGGAAACCGTAGACATGGAAGCTGTAGAGCGAAATCCGTAGATAAGGAGGCTGTAGAGGGAAAGCCGGGAGAAGGGAAGCCGTAGTGGAAACTGTAGAGAACTAAGCTGCAGAGGGACAGCTGTAGACAAGGAGTGCGTAGAGAGAAAGTCGTAGAGGGAAAGCTGCAGAAAAGGAACCTGTAGAGGTAAAGCCGTAGACAAGGAAGCCGTTGAGGGAAAGACGTAGCCGAGGGAGCCGTAGAGGGAAAGCCTTAGATAAGGAGGCCGTAGAGGGAAAGCCGTAGATAAGGAGGTCGTAGAGGGAAAGCCGTAAAGAAGGAAACCGTAGACAATGAAGCCGTAGACAAGGAAGCCTTAGAGGGAAAGCCGTAGATAACGAGGCCGTAGAAGGAAAGCCGTAGATAAGGAGGCTGTTGAGGGAAATACGTAGAGAAGGAAGCCGTAGGGGGAAAGTCGTAAAAAAGAAGCCGTAGAGTGAAAGCCGTAGACAAGGAAGCCGCAGGGAAAGCCGTAGACAAGGAAGCCGTAGAAGTAAAGCCATAGATAAGGAGGCCGTAGAGGGAAACCCGTAGATAAGGAAGCCGTATAGGGGCAGCCATAGATAAGGAGGCCGTAGTCAAGGGGGCTGTAGACAAGGAGGGCGTAGAATGAAAGCCCTAGAGGGAAAGCCGTAGGCAAGGAGTCGGTAGAGGGAACGCCGTAGAGAAGGGAGCCGTAGAGGGAAAGCCGTAGACAAGTATGTCGTAGAGGGAAAGCCGTAGACAAGGAAGCCGTAGAAATAAAGCCTTTCTATTATTTCGAAAAGATTTACTATCCATCTGTAAACTATTCAAAAAATCATTTAAAGATCAAAGGAGAAATCAAATTGGATGTGGTAGGAATAATGGACCATTGGTCATAAGAGAACCTAATGTCTTATAAACTGTGGAAAATGTGCCAAATATGACAAATAAAAATCACTGGAATCTTTTGAAAGACTGGTGTCACAGTATCAATAAATTATTTGACTAGAACTCTGAACAAACCGTTGCCTACAAGCATGCCAAATTCATAAACTATTTTTTTTCTAAAATCTTGTCATTTGAAACCTCATGTACCGTTTAGTGAAAATATCCTGATCCGCTAAAAGAATAAATTTCTTTGGAAATGTCAAGGTGAGCCTTTCAATTCAAATCACATTGACCCGTCAAGAAAACATGGAAGATGTTGTATGAATCTGTGCGCCCATTTTCTCTACCAAATGAACCACATGTTTGATAAGAGCTATAATGGCGTCCAAAAAAAAATTGGATTATTATGGATGTCGATGTATAATTGTCGACTAAAAATGTGAAACTGAAGCGCGTAGTTCGAACTTTTTATCTTTGACAGTAATCGAAAAGATGAACTGTTTCATTCACAGATTCGTGAGATCTGAATCCAATTAAAAAAAAAAAGAAGAAAGAAATGGAAAGGCGTGTTAGAGAAAAAAAACTAAATAATAAAAATCTTGAAAACTGTTCAGATGATTTATTTTTAAAGTTTATCAACATTTTGCAATTTAATTAAAGCTAAAAAAATATTTTTGAATTGTAAGCATTTTGGAGAGATAAAGATTTATTGATACAAGTCCTACTAATTAACCCATAGCTAGAGAGGAGAAGATGTGGATCCCTACATTTCCCAAAGATATTTGCTCCTAAATGAATATAAGGAATCTGACTTGAATTGAAATTCGGCTATCCGACTTCCAACTTCAAAACTTTATCCATCACACCCACTCTCACATCTAAACTTGAGGCACCTGGCATTCCTAAGCGGTAACCAATCTAGGAACCGCTGACCAAAATCGGCGTTGCTTAACTCCGGTAATTGTACGGGAATCGGTATTTCAACGTGATGTGTCTGTAAGCTCCATTATAAAAATGGCAAAGTGTGGCAACGCGTACCTGTGAAAATTACCAAAAATGATTTTAAAAAGCTATTGCTGAAAAAAATAGACGAGTTCATTTGTCTCTTAATTTCCCAAGGCTATTAATTTTGGTCATACAATTATTTTATTTGGTTTACAATTAAGCTAAAGTAAATATTAAAATGTTTTTTTTTTTAAATTATTAACTTCATGCCTATAGAAAACTCTAAAAGAAATCATACCAAGCCAATAATTTCAATCGCTAATATATATAAATATAAAGAGGAATAGAGTGCTAGTAATAATAATAAAACAGTGCTCGACATAAAATAAGAGTTCGAATTTATATTAAGAAAAATTATATATCTGTTTCTCATCTTTAACGTTTCATGCATATAGCAGTCGTCTGGTACAAATTAAAACTGCTTCATTGTCTTAGCAAATTAGCCTTTAAATAATTGTTAGAGAGGACAATTTTAATTTGTACCTGACGATTGATATGTGCATGAAAGTTTAAGTAACATCAAACGCTAAAGAACAGATATATAATTATTTTTATATATTTATATATATATATATAAGAATAGATATATAATTCTTCTTATATATATATATATATATGTGTGTGTGTGTGTGTGTGTGTGTGTGTGTGTGTGTGTGTGTGTGTGTGTGTGTGTGTGTGTGTGTCTGTCTGTCTGTAAAAATTTAAGAAGAATTATATATCTGTTATTTAACGTTGGATGTTAAAACTTTCATGCCCATACTAAATACCTATATAGATTTACACTGACAAACACACATATATATATACACACATATAAATATGTATACAGTATCATATATATGTTACATGATATATATATATATATATATATATATATATATATATATATATATATATATATATATATATAGCAGCATGGCACGGCGTTGCCTGTGCTTGATTCAAAAAATCGTAATGACCCATACAGCAATCGCTATCACTTGACTTAAAATATTTTTGCCCTTCCTTGCCTTTTTAAAGGAGTGCCTTTGCCGTGCCGATGTTGCTACATGCCTTACTTCTTGCCTATCTCACACTGCAAATTTTTTCTAAGCTCTATATTAAACATTAAATCTGTTACGAAAAAAGAACGAAACAAAATGAACACAAAATGATCAGCTTTAAAAAAGGACTCGTAACTGGAAAAACTGAATGAAAAAAGAATGTTAACAACAAATACTTTTTCACACCCAACCCATTTCTGCGGAATCAGAATCAACGTTGAGTTTAAACAAGCGAATGAGCCAATTGGAGTAAAGTGCCATGCAGATTTAAATGTTTCCCACTTGTGACGAATGCAGCTATCGATTTTCTTTGCATGCTAGCATGCTAGTAACATTCGTGTCAGTCAGCTGTTGGCTCTCACTCTGGCCAGTAGAAAATGGCCGCAAACTACATAAAAACTGCCGTAGAAGCATGAAAAAATCGATTGTTTACACAATCGATGGGCGTTGAGAAATGCAAAGTCGGTCTTGGCCTTCCTCCTAACTTGGAGCATGTGCATGTAAATTTTGGTGCAAATCCGTCGAAAATTGCGGCTGTGCATTCGTTACACACACAGACACACACACACACATCCCGCCCTTTTTATAGATGAGATATTGAACTTTTCTCAACATTCAGAGGCGACAGGCAATTTTATGCTGGACGCCATCGTCAGACCGCCTGACAATTGCGTCTAGCATAAAAACAGCCTGTCGCCTCTGGAGTGTTGACTTCAATGTTCACTTTTTATATTCATATTTACATTATTATTACATTATCCCATAAATATATCAAAACTTAAAAATATATATATATATATATATATATATATATATATATATATATGGTCGATTTGTCAGGAAACAGACTTCCTGGTGTTATCGTACGTCTGAAAACCATACTACGGGTTGACCCAAACCTTGTGGGTGAAATTGGGTAGACAGAACCTTTGTGGGCTGTTGGTACCACGAGAGATTGAGAGCGTGCTGGCCTTGTTCAAATTCATGATCACGCTCAAATTCTTGATCTGTGTGTTTCTGAACAAGCGTCTGCAATAGGGATTGGATAGCCGCCGTAATAGACGAGTATGCTTGAATACGATTGACCAGCTATACAAATGTATATATAACTATATGCTATAAAATATAGCATACCTGGAAATATGTAGGCATTTTTGATTATGTAGACGTCGACCAGACCGCCTTGTTGAGACTTTCCGTTGACTAACAGTTAATCATTTGGCAACAGATCGCAAAGAAATCCAGTGTTTTAAAAGCAAATTTCATTTTCTTTCTTTTTTTTTTTTTAGTCAATAACCATGTGATTTGAAAAAAAGGAAACAATATAACGATTTTTTGGCGTTTGTCTCACGCTATCAATGTATGTGTGTATGCATTTGATATATATATATATATATATATATATAATACTAATAATGTTATAAATATAAGCAGCTATACTCGTCCGGTAAAGCCTTAGGTGCTTTAGCTTGTAAATGAACAAACCAATACCCAAGGGGAAAAATAGGGTAAAGAAAGAAAGAACTAAGAACACTCCGGCGAAAATAATCGTCTAGAATCTAAGTTCAGTGTCCAAAGAAAAAAACCTCGCCACGAGTAAAGTAAAATAATAAACAAAGTGCTCAAACGCTAAGTAGAGCAAATGTTTAAAAAAGAGATTGGTTTCATTTAAGTTTCATCTACGCAGATCGTGAGTCCGGCCTGACGATCTGCGCAGGTGAAACTTAGGTAGGTTTGTCTGGCTCTTTAGGTTTACTTATATATATATATATATATATATATATGTGTGTGTGTGTGTGTGTGTGTGTGTGTGTGTGTGTGTGTGTGTGTAGTAATAATGTTCGTAACAAATGTTGGTAACGTTTTTGAAGCAAATTTCAAAGACAATATTTGGGCATTTGGAGATAGACTTATTCAACCCGATATGCACCATTTTCACTATCTTTAACAGTCTTTGAGGCAACTTGATGGTTCCATATCCCTAGAACCTAGCATTTGTCTAGGTGATGATTAGTCTCAAGTTCTTCCCATGAAGAGAATTTTTATCGTGATTGAATAAAGACTAATGCGTAGGTGCAAGGTGCGTACGGTGGATGTAATAAAACATCCCAGCCAAGTTCTAACAATTTCTGACAGGTCTAGCGTTTTAAATCGATTTATGCTGTTAATCGGTTTAATTGGGAAGAGCACTTGTCTGAATTTATCGTCGGAAGCAACCCTTAATACACAATACTCTTCCAATCTCACTGCGACTTCTTGGCCTCACATTTTCAACTGACTTGAAGTTGAACAACTACATTGAATCAATAGATGCATCTACTGCAAGAAAAGTTAGTCCACTGTGTCCTGCCAGAAGGTATTTTTCCTCAGAATCTATCTTACACATCTAAACATCTGCCATTCTTCCTTGCATTGAATAGTATTACCATATCTGGTCTGGTGCCCCTGCCGTTCATCTCGAGGTTTCCAACAAGATCCAAAGAAGGGTCTGTCATGTAATCGGTCCGGAATTGACTCCTCGACTTCACACACTCTTCAGAAGACGTCATGTGGCTTCCCTCTCTTTTCTACAAATATTTTCATGGCATCTTCTCTAACAAGATTTTCCCCTGGTGCCCCTACTACATGAATTTAAATGTGCTACTAGATTGGCATTTAGGTCCCACTCATTTATTGTTGAAATAGTTAAATGTAACCGCCACTTCTACTCCAAGAGTTTCTTTCCTCGCACTTCCCGACATTGGAATTTCCTTCCACTTACTTGCTTCCCTGATAGCTATAATCTTCACTTAAAATTAAATGCAACATCAGTTGCCATCTTCTCTTACCGTGATCACTGTTCTTTTTTCTTTTCCCCAATCCCCCCACCCCCGCCCGTACGCCCACTTTTTTTCTCTCAGTTTTTACTCTCCGTAAGTCACTGCATGCTAGATGCACTCCCGCCTTGCTTGGGGTGAAATGCTTTATTAAAAAAAGATAATGGACACGCTAAGATAGATAGATAGATAGATAGATAGATAGATAGATAGATAGATAGATATTGATACAATTGAATGCCTTCCGACACAAACATAAATCAGTCTCTTACATCAGTGTTACAACCTGTAGAATCAAATGGAAAGTGTGTGTATGTGTGTGTGTGTGTGTGAGTGAGTGTGTGTGCAAAATTTTTCTCTGGCACACAAATAGACACGAACACAAATGTCGTTATTTACTGAGAAGGATCTAAGCAGGCGCATAAATCCAGAAATGACCAGCACCTACTGAACTCTTATCAAGCTTAGTTTCATCTGGCACATGGCCACAAGTATAGAGCACTCAGTTATAACTGAACGTACTATACCTAGCAAATTAGTCTTTGGTCTCTTCTGCATAGCGACACACACACACACACATACACACACACACACATATATATATATATATATATATATATATATATATATATATGTCAAGACAGCGGGAAAGCGATATCACTTATTAATTACGCAAAGATATCCCTACCTATGCATACAGCTAGTTCATATTTTGAATGTTTGATAAAAAATAGCATTTGATTGTTTATATGTACGTTTATAAGTGTGTTTGCATGCGTGTGCATGTGTGTGTATCTATATGTATATGTTGTGTGTGTGCATGCGTGCGCGCGCGTCAGTCTGTATATGTTCGGGTGAGAGAAAAACAGAAAGCGACGAAGTGTGTAAGAGGAAGACAGTATATTTTATATAAGCGTTATTATTAGCCATGTGTTTGAATTTATGCGTGCTAGATAGATAGATAGATAGATAGATAGATAGATAGATAGATAGATAGATAGATAGTTTTTATTATTTAATATTATAAAAGATCTCGTAAAGCGACGTAACCTACGTGGAAAGAATGAACTGGCAATTCAAGGTAAAACTCAAGGCTTAATACATTGTCAAATATTAAACAGACGTATTACATTTCTAAGGGTTTATCTTGACAAAGAAGAAGAAGAAGAAGAAGAAGAAGAAGAAGAAGAAGAGCACAGCCTCGTTCTGTAAATTTAGCGCCAAATGCACAGCACCAAACAGCCCCCATCTCTCTTAACTCATGGCCCGAACATGTAACATGTAGCACTACCGTTGTAGCAGGAGCAGCAGCAGCAGAAATTATCATAATGATAGCAATATTAATGATGATAACGATGTTGATGATGAGGAAGATGATGATAATGATGATTTAGTGACAGTAAGGGTGATTATAGTAGTCGTGGTGGTTGTACAATACATTTTCCATGGGCGACACCTACTCCTACATACGTAACGTGACACAAAAAGCCAGCAGGAAGTGGGTACCCCAAAAATGTAAGTAAGAAAAAAAACTCCCCCTCAGAAAAAAAAGCAGTATAAGATAATGCCCACATTCTAAAGGCGACTTTTTCAACTTTTCATCAATACACACACACACACACACACATATTCGTATCGTATTAGCAATGTTTATTTTTCTCTCTTTTACACGAATTTGGTGGTAGTGTTAGAAAAAAGACCCGAGTGGTCATCTTAAGACAAATGACAATGCAATTGACTGCTTCAAGACTTGGATGAACGTCTTCTTTACTAAAAAGTATATATAAATGGTAATATATGCTTCCATAGATAGATAGATAGATAGATAGATAGATAGATAGATATTTAAACAGTATGCTTCCCTGTCATTTTTTTTTATGTTTGTATCTCTATCATGTCACTGTTTTTATTATAGTTACTGTTGTTGTTGTTGCTACTGTTGATGTTGTTGTTTTATTATAGTCTTAAATATATTTCAGCTATTTCAGATTATATTTTCTTTTGTGTCTATATAAATGGACATGTGATAGAGTTTGTCCGTATGTACAAAGTTAACACCTATTTTATCTACACGTTCATCTGACCATTTCTTTTCAATTGTCTCTTGTTTTCTGATAAGTGTCTCTTTTATACTTACTCACTCTTCTTTCCTTTCACTCAATTTCATTTCTTTCTCAAACCTCCCCCACCACACTCATCGCCTTCTTAGATTTCTTCTGTTTTCTTTTTGTTTTTGTGTCGCCTTTCTTTTACGACTTTCCTTCCTCGTTCCTTGTTTTGCCACTTTTCCCTTTCTCACTGTCCTTCTGTATTTT